GGTAGAAATTGCATCCATCCCCTCCTCCTTTTTCCCCCTCAAAATAGCTATTTGTAATCAAGCTCGCTATTTTGGTTAAATAGAAGGTGTTCAGTGTCAGGTGCCAAAAGAATTATTGGGTTGTGTATATATATATATTATCATGGATTTTTTTATTTATTACAAAATCAATAAAAAATCAGATCAATCAAGTATAGTGGCATCGCAAGATTTAAAAAAAGATAAACAACCCCCATAAAATGAAGGATCTAAGCCTCTATAGAGTAGGGGAAAAGTCCCCTCTCGTAGCAAGGGAGGGAAAAAAACCTCTACATAGGAAGGGTTATCACATCAACATGCTAAAAATTAAAAAAAAAAAAAAAAAAAAAAACCATATTCAAGTCATCACCAAACTCATCCAAAATTCCACCACTTTCACAACTTTCAACTTGGGATTTGAAGATCCCACCAAGTTATGGTAGTCGCCTAGCGTGAACTTAACGCATTGTCCAGTGTTGGCCTTCAAATAATGAGAAGATTTGAAGTCAGGTCTTAAAATTTTGACCTCGAGGGTGGAGAAGGTAAAATGGTAATGATTGGACTAGTGAATCAAACATCATATTTGAATTAAAGACCTAATTTGAAGAAGGATTAGAGGATGAGGGAGAAGAAGCGAGAGATTAGACCATCTCTCTCTCCACTAACCCCTAACCTCATCTTTAGTGAAGCTTAAATATGTGGGTGGTGTGTTGGGTATACCTCCTTAGTGAAATATGAGACCCAATTGGTTTATTAAAAATATTTAATTTGCTTTGGTGTTGATTATAATATATTTTTATATATTATATCTGACTTTTAGAGGCCCAATGAGTATTTAAAAATCTATTTGGCGGTAGTTGAGGTTTTGACAAAAAGCCTAAGAATCACCAATATGTTTTTGGTATTGTTTTCTTTTTCCGAAGTGGGTAGCAACTGGTATCAATCAATTCGGTGGGTTTTAGTTTTTGATATACAAACCTTGCTATGTGATCAATTCGGTGAATATTCAAGTGCTTAGTCTTAGTGGCGGAGGGAGTGAAGGCCAGGTGGTCACGTGCCCTCCTTGGATTTTGGTTTTTTTTTTTTTTTAATTTTGCAAACATTAAGAAAATATTTTAAATAAAAAAAATTACAAAAATACTATTAGAGTGAAATGTCAATGACATTTTAAAAATTATGAAAATAATAATGGTTGTTTTAATTGAAAATGAAGAGACTACTATAAACCAGATTATCTATGAAATTTTTTGAATGTAACGGTGATGTCATTATTATTGACATGCAAGTATAAGTAATCTCACTATAAAGATATAAAATTTATTAGATTGTTAGTTACATTTGACATATGAGGTTCACTCTCTATGTATTTATGTACTATTAGTTGGTGATATTACATATCAATGATAACGTGGTATTACCATTATATTGAATTTTTAATCAAATTTTGTATAATTTTTTTTTATCATTATATAATTTATGTTAAGACTTATATCTATATATTTTTTTGTATTGTCCATGATACACTTGTTACAAATAACATTATTTTTTCGATGTTTCTCGAAATCAATCATAAAAATTTGTGTGAAACATTTTTGTAAAAATTTTCGATATTGTAATTAATAAGTGCCTCTCCTAATTTAATTTTCTGGCTCCGCCACTGCTTAGTGTTGGTATTCAAGAAAGCTTAGTGCTCTATTTGTTTGCTATTTCTCTACTATGAAGTTAATAGTTTTGGGAGTATTTCAGTAGTCATTGTGAATACTGATTTGCGTCTTCTACAACTTGTTCGAAGGCTTTTGTTTATCTAATTTGGTGAGGTATTTCCTTTTGATTATTTGTGATTATTTGGAATTCATCTAAGGGTGATTTGTGAGACCATTCATGTATTATTTGTAATCTTTTGAAAACTTTTAGTTGATAGTGGAATCGAATTTTGGTCCTGTGGACGTATCTCATATTGAAGGAATCACGTAAAAATTCTTGTATCGTTATTGATTTAATTTTTCCGTATTAATTTTTATTTCCATTAGTTGATTTACTTATGGAAAATCATCTATTTTTCCTAACAACTGGTATTAAAGCTTATAGTTTGGAGTGGTTTGGGATGATCTAAATAAGTGTACTTTTTGACTTTTATGAAATATGGGTTGGATATGGGTTGAGTTTGAAGTGATGTGGTAAAGAGGTGATATGACTTAAATAGGATAGTGACTTTTTGACTTTTTTAGAGTACCCCAAACAAGGCCTTCATTTGAGTTTATTTATTTGTGTAAATCAATGGAGAGGAATGTGGGTCGTATGTCTAGCTTTAATGGAAACAATTGGATAACTTGAAAAACTAAAATAGAAGACCTATTATTTGTAAATATTTGAAAAGCCGTAGTTGTTATTCGTCAATAGATTGGTGACAGTGTATTTTATCTTGTTGCTACTGAAATGTAATGACCCCAAAACATGTGCCATATTTATCAGTAATTAATTATGTGTTTATGCAAATTAATTGAAGAATATCTGTTTGAATTAGAAGAATATCTGTTGAGATGAGAACTTTGGGACTGAAATTGATGACCGTAATGGGTTCAGAAAACGAAATTGAGCACGCCTATGTGGTACCGGGAATTTTTAGAACCATTTGGGAAAATAAATTGAGGACTGAATTTCGTCTGAATCGCTAAACCTTGTTTGGCTCATGTTTATGGCACAATTCTATATTTATGATATATAGATAAGGATAAGGACTATGTTGACCATGTATTGACTCAACAAAAGAGGAAAGAAAATATCTAAGAGAGAGAGAGAGAGAGAGTTCGTGAAAAAGGGAAGAAAAGGGGAAATCAAGCTTAAATCTTCCTCAATTAAAGAATCAAGGTAAGGATCTTCTCTAAATTCTTGAAGTAAGGTTGGTGCATCAATGATCTCATGTTAAATAAGAGGATTGAAAGGGGAAATATGTTTAATTTGAGCATGCATGGCATGAATAGATGATTTATGGTTATATTTGTCATATTTTGAGGAAGAACCTCCATGGATTTAAGAATGAAGCTTTTATGAACATGTTTTATGACTTTTCATCTTCAATCAAGGTTGGATTTTGTATATGATGCATTTGGGTTTGTTTAGAAGCTATAATGTGTAATTCAAGTTGTGTTTCAAGTGTTTTGAGACTTGGATTTCATAAATGTTGAAGTGGTTTTGCAAAAGGAAAGATCCAAGCTTATAGAGCTTTTGGCGACTAAACATTTAGTAACCAAAGAACAAAAAGGAAAGATCCAAGCTTTGGAAGATTTCAGAATTTCGGATTTTGCATGGTCCGCTCGAGCGGAGGGATTTCCGCTCGAGCGTGAAAATCGGCCTCCCAGCAGTTTTGGAAAATTGTGCAGTCCGCTCGAGCGGACAAAGTGGCGCTCGAGCGGGGAACTTATTTTAGGAAATTTTGAGAAGTTGAACTACATGATTTTCACATGTCATTTGTATCATTTAGCATCTCACAATCATGAAATAGAGTAAAGAAAGGATAGTATGGCATGAACACTTGCTTCTATGCTAATGTGGTCTAATGTTAATAATTGCAGGTCAGGAGGCGAAGATCGTGCAATCGGTTTTGGAAACCCACTGTGAGTAACATTTCTGTAAAGATATGTTAGTATGATCTATGTTTAAAAGTGCTACGTTATGCTATGGTTTTGAAATGATAAATGTTTTCTGTGAACGAATGTCCAGTTTGCGAATCTAGTACTCCCAGCAGTTTTGGAAAATTGTGCAGTCCGCTTGAGCGGACAAAGTGGCGCTCGAGCGGGGAACTTATTTCAGGAAATTTTGAGAAGTTGAACTACATGATTTTCACATGTCATTTGTATCATTTAGCATCTCATAATCATGAAATAGAGTAAAGAAAGGATAGTATGGCATGAACACTAGCTTCTATGCTAATGTGGTCTAATGTTAATAATTGCAGGTCAGGAGGCGAAGATCGTGCAATCGGTTTTGGAAACCCACTGTGAGTAACATTTCTGTAAAGATATGTTAGTATGATCTATGATCTATGTTTAAAAGTGCTACGTTATGCTACGATTTTGAAATGATAAATGTTTTCTGTGAACGAATGTCCAGTTTGCGAATCTAGTATGGCATCCATAGATAGTCCTAAGTGGACCAGTTTACGAGATCTCGGTATGTGTTTAATCGGTGTCCGGGACCGGTTACTCTAGTCGTTGGACGACAAATGTTATATTCTATGGAGTATGCCCTTATATATGTTATGATATGAGATGATTATGTTTATGAATGATTTATTTTATGGATATATGAAATGTGAAATTCGTTCACTACCCCTTTACTTTAATGTTACTTGCTGAGCTTTAGCTCATTGTTTGTATATATGTATTTATAGGTGAGCACTCTGGGAGTCAAGCCTAGGCGGAGTCCGAGCCGAGCCGCCGTTTTGAAGCCTACCCGGTGTTTTGGTGCCTCCGAGTTGGGGCTAGGCCTAGAAGGCCGTTAGGAAGCTTGGTTTTGGTTGTACATATGGCGTGAGCCTATGTTTTGTATATTAATTTTGATTATATGTGATGTAATGTAGTGAGTAAATTAACATTTTTGGCATGTAATGTATGTTCATATAAATGCACAGCTCTTTGGACTATTAGTGTTTTGTTTTCGCTTCCGCAAGCCCCGGTTATGTATGTTTTGTACAGAAAGGCCTGTGGTAATCCAGGATTACTGGCCGGTTACGATGCCAACCTTCTCGGGGCGGGTTTGGGGCGGGACAGAATGGTATCAGAGCGCACGAGTTAATTTACTCACACACGTGTCCATATGAGCTGTAGGGTGTCCTAGAAAAGAAATAGGTCATGACATAAACATATGTGCATGTGTGCGTGTGTTTTTGAATATATAAAGAGACAAGAACTGTAAATGATGAGACAACAGAGGAACTATTATGTTGAATGAAATATTCTATCTGCTATGGGTACTAGAGACCAATGGAGAACACTAATGCAAGGAATGTAGATGAGTCAGAATCTTCTAATGCCAAAATAGATCGGTTAGAAAGAATGGTGGAAGCTTTAACTGGGTTGGTGAGACAACAGCAAGAGCAAATCCAACAACAACAGAGACAACCATTTCCGCCTCCTCCACCACCACCTGTGCAAATGGAACCGATTAATAATGATGATGTTATCACCTTGACACAGAAATACAAGAAACTGAAACCACCAGAATTTGCAGGGGGAATTGAACCATTAAAAGCGGAGGCATGGGTATTAGAAACTGAAAAGATTTTTGAAGTGTTTCCGTGTACAGATGTCTATAAAGTTTTGTTAGCAACATTTACTCTGACAGAAGAAGCTCGAAGATGGTGGATGCTCGTACGAGGTGAGAATAGGGACTTAACATGGGATCGATTCAAAGAGACGTTTTATGAAAAATATTTTCCACAATGTATGCGAGATAGGAAGATATCTGAATTTGAACAGTTGAAGCAAGGCACTATGTCAGTAGCGGAATATGAGAGTAAATTTACTGAATTAGCCCGTTATGCTCCTCATATGGTTGATACAGATTACAAGAAGGCAAGGAAGTTTGAGGGTGGATTGCATGTTGAGGTGCTTGACCGGGTGAATGCTTTGAAATTAGAAAAATATGTTGATGTACTTGACAGAGCCTTGATGGCTGAAACAAATATTACGGCTTTGGAGACATCTAAATTAACAACCATGACTGAAGCGGAAAGTAAGAAATTCAAGAAACAGAAAGTGGAAACAGTTAGTGAATCAGTGGCCTCCGTGAATGAAAATTTGAACTCAAGTTTTAGTGATAATACAACAAAGGGCAGTAGTGGAAGTGTAGGTAGATCTACTTGTAGGGAATGTGGAAAGCAACATTGGGGTATTTGTCACCGTGGAACTGGAGTCTGTTTCAAATGTGGACAAAAAGGACATATAGCTAAAACTTGTCCACAAGTTTACTCAAGAAATGAAAGACCCATTGCTAGCGGAGTTAACTCAACAATGACACCAAAGACAACCGTAACATCTAATCCTGAGGGGAAAACATTGAGGCAAGGAAGGGTTTTCACCCTAGTTTCAGAAAAGACACAGAATACTAGAAAAGCGAATACAGGTATGATTTTTATTATCTACTGTGATGTTAGCACTGTTATCTATGCAATGGCTATGTTACTTATGCGATGGAAAATATTGAACATGTGACTGTGACGGAACAAATCATACGTAAATTATGTTAAATCAATTGAAAGTGAACGGCATGAAATAAATTGACTATGACTGTGATGAAACAAATTTCCCTTTGCTATTCCCTTTGTTATGGATTGTTATATCGACGTTACTACCTCTAAATTGAACGCTATGGAACTTGTTAGCTGACTTCAGTATATGTAAAATATGTTCATTATGTGTTTGACTGCTACGATACTGCCTTCATTGTTATGGAATGGACATACAAACTACCTTATCATGCTGAATAACTGAATAGAACCGTGGAGTTGTTTCTGACTGAGCTTGTGCCTGGATAAGCAAAGTTTGGAGGACCAAACTTTTTAAGGTAGGGAGAGTGTAATGACCCCAAAACATATGTCATATTTATCAGTAATTAATTATGTGTTTATGTAAATTAATTGAAGAATATCTGTTTGAATTAGAAGAATATCTGTTGAGATGAGAACTTTGGGACTGAAATTGATGACCGTAATGGGTTCAGAAAACGAAATTGAGCACGCCTATGTGATACTGGGAATTTTTAGAACCATTTGGGAAAATAAATTGAGGACTGAATTTCGTCTGAATCGCTAAGCCTTGTTTGGCTCATGTTTATGGCACAATTCTATATTTATGATATATAGATAAGGATAAGGACTATGTTGACCATGTATTGACTCAACAAAAGAGGAAAGACAATATCTAAGAGAGAGAGAGAGAGAGAGTTCGTGAAAAAGGGAAGAAAAGGGGAAATCAAGCTTAAATCTTCCTCAATTAAAGAATCAAGGTAAGGATCTTCTCTAAATTCTTGAAGTAAGGTTGGTACATCAATGATCTCATGTTAAATAAGAGGATTGAAAGGGGAAATATGTTTAATTTGAGCATGCATGGCATGAATAGATGATTTATGGTTATATTTGTCATATGTTGAGAAAGAACCTCCATGGATTTAAGAATGAAGCTTTTATGAACATGTTTTATGATTTTTCATCTTCAATCAAGGTTGGATTTTGTATATGATGCATTTGGGTTTGTTTAGAAGCTATAATGTTTAATTCAAGTTGTGTTTCAAGTGTTTTGAGACTTGGATTTCATAAATGTTGAAGTGGTTTTGCAAAAGGAAAGATCCAAGCTTTGGAAGATTTCAGAATTTCGGATTTTGCATGGTCCGCTCGAGCGGAGGGATTTCCGCTCGAGCGTGAAAATTGGCCTTCCAGCAGTTTTGGAAAATTGTGCAGTCCGCTCGAGCGGACAAAGTGACGCTCGAGCGGGGAACTTATTTCAGGAAATTTTGAGAAGTTGAACTACATGATTTTCACATGTCATTTGCATCATTTAGCATCTCATAATCATGAAATAGAGTAAAGAAAGGATAGTATGGCATGAACACTTGCTTCTATGCAAATGTGTTCTAATGTTAATAATTGCAGGTCAGGAGGCGAAGACCGTGCAATCGGTTTTGGAAACCCACTGTGAGTAACATTTCTGTAAAGATATGTTAGTATGATCTATGTTTAAAAGTGCTACGTTATGCTACGGTTTTGAAATGATAAATGTTTTCTGTGAACGAATGTCCAGTTTGCGAATCTAGTATGGCATCCATAGATAGTCCTAAGTGGACCAGTTTACGAGATCTCGGTATGTGTTTAATCGGTGTCCGGGACCGGTTACTCTAGTCGTTGGACGACAAATGTTATGTTCTATGGAGTATGCCATTATGTATGTTCTGATATGAGATGATTATGTTTATGAATGATTTATTTTATGGATATATGAAATGTGGAATTCGTTCACTACCCCTTTACTTTAATGTTACTTGCTGAGCTTTAGCTCATTGTTTGTATATATGTATTTATAGGTGAGCACTCTGGGAGTCAAGCCTAGGCGGAGTCCGAGCCGAGCCGCCGTTTTGAAGCCTACCCGGTGTTTTGGTGCCTCCGAGTTGGGGCTAGGCCTAGAAGGCCGTTAGGAAGCTTGGTTTTGGTTGTACATGTGGCGTGAGCCTATGTTTTGTACATTAATTTTGATTATATGTGATGTAATGTAGTGAGTAAATTAACATTTTTGGCATGTAATGTATGTTCATATAAATGCACAGCTCTTTGGACTATTAGTGTTTTGTTTTCGCTTCCGCAAGCCCTAGTTATGTATGTTTTGTACAGAAAGGCCTGTGGTAATCTAGGATTACTGGTCGGTTACGATGCCAACCTTCTCGGGGCGGGTTTGGGTCGTGACATGAAATTTCGACACATAATTTATGGAAAAAATTAGAAGGATTTTATGATAGAAAATTAGCCACAAATAAAGTTTTTTTGTTTCGAAAGTTGGTTAATTTAAAATATAAAGAGGGCAGCTCTATTTCAGAACATTGGAATGAAATGAAGAGTATTGTTAACCAACTTGCCTCTATGAAAATTATTTTTGATCTTTACCCGAGAGTTGGGAGACTTTGGTTGTGACGGTTAGTAATTCGGCGCCCAATGGGGTTGTCACAATAAGCCAAGTCACTAGTAGCATGTTGAATGAAAAAACTAGAAGAAAATCAACGGGTTTTTTTTCTCATTCGGAGGCATTTGTTGTGAGAGGCCGAAGCAAAACAAAGGAGAGGAGTAAGACTCCTCATGGTCATAATAAAAGCCGTAACAAATCGAGAGATAGTTCTTTTTCAAAGAAAGACATTGAATGCCATTATTTCCATGAAAAAGGGCATATGAAACGAGAATGCTGAAAACTCAAGAACAAGGAGAAAAGACCTGACAAAAGTGTGGATAAGAAGTAAGAAGACACTACGGTGGTTACTGTGAGAACCCGCATTTAATTTTTCAAAAAAAATAATAATAATAATAATTTTGCATCATAAGACGCGAATAATAAATTAATTTTATCTAAAGGCTATTTAAAATAGTGCATAAGTTAGTTTTGAACCAATCCAATTCAATCACTAACAAAAAAAAAAAAACATTATTAGGAATAATAATTTTTTGGGTATTCAATATTTATCGTTTATAATTTAATTTAATGAGTATTCAACATAATAATTATTTTTACTAAATACCTTAGTTGAAAACTTGAATTAATTAATTTTAAGAAACCCACACAAACAAAATATAAAAAAAAATGAAATTCGGTGGTAGTGTGGGTGATTAATCACCCAACACTTGTATGCATGCGTGTAATAATAGAGAAATAGGCTCATTATATGTCTTGGAATTAGAAGATACAATGGGACTTATTAGAGAGAGAGAGAGAGAGAGCGCCTTAGTCAGATGATGAACTCCTATATATACATATGCTTGCATTCTTCTCTAATCGGAGAAAAGAAAAAAATAAAAAAATAAAATTCCTGTGAGCAAGCTGAGTAGGAAGAAGAAGAGAAGAAGATCAAGGAAGTTTGTAATTTTCCCTACCATTTCATCACCCGATTTCAATCCTACTATTAAGTAAGAAAACCCTCTCAACCCTCTCAATTTTTTATTTTTTTATTTTTTTGTTGAAATTTTCAGATTTGTGTTCATATGATTGTAGATAGAATTTTATTTATATTTGTATGTAAATTTTGTGATTTGTATATCAAATATTTGAAAGTTATTAGTAGCCTTAAAATCATGGTGAAATTAGACTTGCATGTATAGTTTGTGCCATTAAAGAGATGATTAAAGATTTTATTTGATTTGGTTATATGACTCTTAAATCTGCCAGAAACCTGTATGAATTTTTAGACAATTTTATATTCAAAAATTTGAGATGATTTCTTCTACAAAGTTGTTAAAAATGATGTCTAGTTCATCCAGGAATGTTTGTAACAATTATTATAGATTTGTACGAATTTATGCAAAATTTTAATCAAATCTGAAACTATAGACAGATTTTAGTGCATGTTTGAAAAATCATTAAAAATCCTATATTAAACCAAATCCGGTCATTTCAAAATAAAAAATTAAATTTGAGAAGTCTAATTTCATAATAAATTTATAGAATATGAAATTGATCTATAAATTTAAGTGTGGAATTATTTTAAGAAAATGTGACGAATTTGTGTCATGGAATTTCTTGAAATTTTATAGAATTATTTATAACTTACTTTTGGGAATTTCTTAACCATAACATGTTCGTTGAATATTCCATGTAATTCAATGAATTTTAGAATTGTATAAATAATTTATTTATAATTTTAATTACAAAAAGTATGTTCTGAAATTTTTTGGACAGATTGAGAAGAAACCAAAATTATTACTTCAATTATTTATTGGGACTAAAAATAAATATTGTGCTGATCCAATTAATTAAATCCTTTAAATTAGTAGTCCATACATGTGTGTGGTTGTGGTTCACTCTTAAGTATCTAAAATTATCATTTCATACCATGGTTTAATTTAACTGTTTATTATAATTTTATACATCGATTGATTATTGTATAACATATGTGTAATATTTTATGTTGGGAATTTTAATGAAATGGTATAACACTTATGGTGATTTAAATTTGTAATTATTTGTGATTAACATAAAAACTAACTAAAATCATTAAGTACATGTACAAAATTAACTATTGAGGGTTAATATCAGTAGTTTAGGGTGAGCCCTGATTTTTGATAATTTTTGCATAATTGTGTCGCCAAACCCTAAGATGGCATTATTTGAACCCTTATCGGTATTTGGTTTTGGGATAAGGGTGGATATGCGAGTGGCACGTAGAGAGGTTACATATCCCTGGTAGACCATTCTCTTGGGGCAGACCACAGATGGCACAGCTTGGGTACATAACTCTGGGTGTGGGCATTCTTGGTAGTTATAGTTGGTAACACTTAGATATTTGACCAAGGGGAGTTTTCAAATTAACCATTGCCGTGACTTAGTGATAGGTAAGAAAATCTCTTTGGTGAGATTTTGAGTGTCACCTACATTATTAAAATTGTTAAAATTATTTTAACGGTTGTTATATTTTTATTCTATTAATTTTGTTATTTTTTTTAATTTTCATGATTATTAATTTG